GGCCATTTTATCATCTCATATCATCACAAGAAGGGCGAGTAAGAGGTTTGGAGAGAGAGAAAGGCCACATTCACATAACTTTTATTACAGTATATTGTTAAAATTGTTCTACTTTCCTGTTGGTGATTGTTCATCTCGTACTGAACCTCACTTACAAATTAAGCTTCATCACAGGTCTGTATGTATAGGAGAAACAGCGTTCGGTACCATGTGGGCTTTCAGGCATCCCCTGGACGTCTTGGAATGTCTGCCCTGCAAATAAGGGGGAGCCCCTGCAGTACTGTTTCTTAAATATATTTGTAAATTGGAAAAATAAAATAATATAAAGTAACTAACTGGTACTTACGGCAATGTTTAAGATCAAGGATTTTGGAAGTCATAGGTGATAAGAAAATAACTGCTCTTTTTCCAAGTTATCCTCTAACATCAGAGCCGATCCTGAGGCCAAAATCTGCTATTCCAAGAAATAGGAGTATTTTTAAGATTTGAATTAGTTATGCACCACTTCTCCTGCTCTCAACTGATACATAAAATGAGGGTTAACTAGGCGATCCATAAAATTACTTAGAACTTTTCAGGACTTTCAAGTACACACAATACATCTACACACGTAATATATTCTAAGTCTATAAGTCGTAAGAAGAGTGAAGCTGGCCAAACACAGAGGAGTTTGTGTTTCTGTATGTATATCTGTTTAGAACATAGTAATTGACTAAAGAAGGTTTTACTTCAAAAAGTTATCATATAGCAAATCTATGCCTCCAATGTTTTTCCTACTGTAGATGAGTGATAAACGTTTGTTGGCTTGAAATACATTTAAATGTATATATGCCCTAGATCCATCCATTCAGGCGAGAAGGGTGTACCAGAGTAGAAAGAACATGTGCTTTGGAGGCCATGGATAGGGGCCACAGATACTGATAAGCATGTAACTTATGGCTGTAAAATTGAAATAATAATACCTACATTATAAAACTGTTATGAAGAGTAAGCAAATACACATGTAAAGCACCCAGTAGCATGTTCAAAACATAACTGATACGCAATAGATGGTCGATTTTATTATTTTTCAAATATTGTACTGGTTTTATAAATATGATCATCTCTCAGTCTTGATTGTTGGATCAAAGAATGTGTGTGTGTGTGTATACACACATACATCCCATATATATATAATGTAATGTGTATAAATATATAATTTATATTTACAAAAGAATGTATTTGTAAAAATGTTATATATAAAAACATATTTAATTACATACTTATAATTATTTTGTTATACTGTATATTATATTCCTATATTTTATAGGATTTACACTTACATATATATAATATATACATCATAAATATACACACATACATCTAAGTCATCTAAAAGGATCGCTAATTTCATATATGAATAAGCAAAAATGGAGTAATCTTAAAATAAGGTCATATTCTAAATTTATACGTATTTATAATCATCAATTAAAACATTTATAGAACTATGATTCAAAATAGGTTTAAATATCTCTGTACATATTAATTACATGAAACTTGTGGATACCATACTGTTACTAAAATACTTCAAATGGCTCAATTATAAAAGTTACCTGGAAAACACAGTACTTCAAATATTTTTAAAGTTTTAGGGTATGTTTGATAAATGGACAGTTTGAAGATGGTATCCTGACAGACACTTACAAGCATGCTCACATTTTATAAAGAGATAAGACTACAAGGGGAGAAGCCTTGCAGTAAATGAAAATTATTACTAACCTTCAGTGAGATCATGCAGTAAATAGTTATCAGAGTCACCTGTGTATCATTATTCAGTGTCTGTTAATGACAGATATTAGGTAAGTCATTTAATGCATATAAGTCCATGTAGTATGTAGGAGTGTATTTATAGGAAATATGAAACAGAGAGGTGTGATTACTTACCTAAAGTCACACAGTAACCTAGCAGCAACTCAGAGAATGGAATCCAAATTTCCTGGCTCTGCTCAGTGTACCATCTATTGTATAAAATTGTTTTCCTTGTCTAAAGAAAAAATAGGCTTGGGAGGCATATAATCTAACTATTCTTCCAGATCAATTTTTACAAAACACCTGGGAAGCAGACCAGAGCAATTGAGACATCTGAGAAGTTCGTAAATATTATTTTCAAGGGAGGAATAGCACAGAATTCTCCAGATCATCTTTAGAAGAAATATGTGACACCAGATGGTAGGTCACAGGGCTGGCATCATAAGGGACAGGAGTTTGGGAATGTTTTCACCGTACCCAGGATGAAGGTACAGGAGAAGAAAGAAGGGTATTTGGCCCTTTTTTTTTTTTTTTCTTCCTGAGGCCCAATTACAGTATAACCCTGCAGGAAGCCTCTTCTTAGATCTTCAAAAAGGAAAGATAATAACAAGTAGCTCAGTTAACAGTTTGGATTGTGACATGAAGGTTTTACCTCAAATTGTGCCAAGGTCTTCCAGTTTTGATGACAAACTTCCATCCAGGGACTTTGCAATCACAAAGCAATAGGACTTATTATTGTCATTCTAAACATTATCTCCAGAAGGTTTAACTTCTGTGTTTCAACTTCCATTATATTTCATATGGTCATGCTTTTTAGAAACACTCTAGAAAAGTTATTGCTAAACCTATGTATTATAGAATACATAGATTTAATTTCTTGCCTACTTTATGAAGGGGAGGAGAAGCACTAACCTTTTCCATAGAGATCAGTTGGATGATATGGTCAGAAGACCAAAACTCTGCTGGGATGTGGTATGGGGACACTTGAAAATGGTGCATCTGTGCCAAATTATCCACTGCAAAGTAGAGAAAGAGAAAGCTTAAGAGTCCACGGAAAATTAAAGACAGTCAACAAAATAATTACAAAGAGGCAATTTCACTTCAACTGGATTGTCTTCATAAACGACAGCTCCTTTGTAGTGTCATTGTAAACAAAGGACAAATTAAGGAAAGAGATTCCTATGTTTTCACCAAAGTATAAGGTGAGTGATTTTAACCTATAGGAGAGGGCATGAACTGTAAGGGGGATATACAGTCTATCACAGTTGCTGTCTGTATAGATGTAAAATTAATTCAGACTATGGGTCCAGCCTGCGTGTACTCTCACTGGGGACGTATGGCCTGCTTCTGGCCGTGTGCCCCAAACTTCCAGAAGTTGTGGATATTGAGCGCCGCGAAGACATAAACACATTTCTGAAGCAGGTTGGTACTGATTTTTGGAGTTGGACATGTTTCAACTAGAGATCCCTCAGTAAATATTTACCAGTTATGGTAAAAGTTCATCTGGAGGGCAGAATTAGCAGCTGAAGAAGAGACATATCCTCCTTCCCTGACTGTGCTTTATCAGTTGTAAAACGGCTTCACACCCACGTGTACATGTTCCTCTGTGTGTTCACCTCTTTACCAGCACTCCAGTTTCATTCTAAAGAGCTTAAAGGGGCTAATTTTATAAATCAGATCCATATGATCCATGCCAGATATGTATTACAGGGAATTTTGTTTGTGGACTCCATGTATGGTCCCATTTGTGCAATAAGCAACTGTTACACACCAGATGTTTTGATGTAGTGTGTTGTCAATATTTAGGACTCCATGTCTCTAGAATTAGCAGAGATGGAGAGAAAATAAGGAGGAAAACAATTAGTTCAGCCAACCAATTTAGATTCTAGTTAGTATAAGGTAGAATAGGAAAATTAAAGTGGTTCCTATGTAAAGCTCAGGATGTCAGATCTATCTCTGACCCAAGAGAAAGATTTTTCTATTCTGGGCTCAGTCACTAAATATTCGGTGGGGAGGATTTTATGTTCAGGGCAGTGCAGAGGCTATCTGGAAACCCAGTGATGAAGAGAAATGTCTACTCAGGGAAATGCCAATGGTCTTTTCCATTATTTATACGGCACCCTGCAGATCAAAAAGTGTTTCGCAGACTTAATTCACTGGAGTCTCTCACCAGCCCTGATTTTATAAAGGAAGAAACAGGTCACATGGCTCTTTAGTGTGAGAATCAGAGGAAATATCCAAGCATTTTTGCACCACACCCCTCCAGGATTCCTTTCTAAAGGGCCACTTTCCCAGTAAGCATTCCAAGGGAAAGAAAAAAGCAATAATTTGAAACGAAAAGGAACCAATTTTTTACCTAAGCGTCAGTGAGTGAAAAAAGGAAATGCCTCCCTTCGAGAAGTATGTTAAAATTGCCAGCAGACCGAACTACTTGTGTTAGTTACCACACAATTGTTTCCACTTTCCCTCTGGGCTCTTTTCCTCCCTTGGCCAGAAGCCACAACTGCCTCTAAAGTAAGACCACAAGGCAGACACCCAGAGACCCTTGCGCCTCCAACTAGGAAACTAGCAGAAGCTCTGCCACCACCAACAGCGAAGATTCAAAATTAGAGCATGTCAAAACCCTCCCCGAATTCATCTATTTGCTTTTCCGGCTCAAACCACCTTAAAAAGAATTTGAAATTCCTTCCCTCCGCAGAGAAGCGCGGCTTTTCTCTGTGCACACAGGGCTGGATGCAAGTCTCTCCGAAGAACTGGTGGCAAAGCAAGCGTTTTGGGGATCGCTCCTGTGGCTGCTCTGTAGCGCCGACTTCCTCTCTCTATATATTCAGATATACATGCGGGCTTATTTATTTATTCTAACTCTCCCTCTCGCGCTCGCAACCTGTGGACTTGGGTTCTGACTGGTGCGGCGAGGAGGGAGGCTGGTGGGCACGCACTCCGGCGCCCGACCGGGGGCGCCTGGTCGCAGTCTTCGGAGGCAAGTCCCCCGTTCCGGCTCCTCCGGCGGGGTCGGGACTTAACTGCGCCCGGGGAAGGAAACCATGACGGTGCCCTTCTGCCCCGCGCCTTTCTGCCCCCCTTTAGCTCCCATCCTTAATTGACGAGCCAGTGACTATTGGCTGAAGTTCCCCAGCGATTTGCATGAACAGAGAGGGAGTGTCTTCCGCCGCCCTCCCGCCAGGAGCGCGCTGACTGCAGCCTCCCTGGGAATGCGCGGCCGAGGGAATGCGCGCAGCTCGCGGGCCCTGGCAGTGAGCTGGTGCCCGGCGACCTGGCTCCCGCGCCTGGATATGGGGCGTCTAAGTCGTCCCAGGAGCAGCATCAGCCACAGAAACCTGCCGGTAAGGGTTGGGGTCCGGGAGCCCTGCAGCCCCGACAAGTTGCTGTGCTGTGAAGCAGTCCCTACTTCCGATGGTTTTTCAAACCTTTTCCCTTAATCCAAACTTTACGGGAAGGTTGGGGGGGAGGGAAAGGGAGTTTGGGATAAGGTGTCTCCATTTTAGCAAGGAATAGGCAAGTCCTTGGGTCGGGAGAGGAAGTTTCTGAAATAGAAATGTAGGCAGATGAGGTGGGGGGGGCTCGATCCGCTTGAGATACTAGGGTGAGGAGGTTTCCTGCTGTCCGCACCTGCTAGGACGGTCCACTGTAATTGAAAAATTGTTTTTTTGCGTAAGCATTTTCCGCGTTTACTTCTTTTTCCTTAGGGGAGGGGGATTAGGAAGGGCTTCATAGGCGGTTGAGATCCAGATTCTTTCGATTTGACACTAGATGAGAGCTAAAATGAAAATCACTTCTCTGACCTAAAGTGTTTATTTAATGGGGCGGGGGTGCTTCCAAAGGGAAAGTGTCACTGTTTTCCATATTATTATTATTGATATTGTTGGTGGTGGCAGTGTTCTCATAATAAGGGATGTGACACATTTCGCGCTCCAGAGACCTTAGTGGTAGAAACATTTCAATGGGAAATAAATTGATGAATTGCCCATCATCGCTCAGTCCTCTCCTCTACCCACCTCCTCCCTCTCCATGACCTACCCGGGTGGTTTCCCTGCGGCGTCGCGCAGTCCCTGAGTTGAGTGCTCTCCACTCTGGCGTGTGTTTCCGGGGATGCTTTATGGTTTGGGATTCCGATTATTAACTGAATAAGAGTGCTGATGAGCGGGGGAAAGGAGGGGGAGGGTAGAAAGTGAACAGAAAAAAATAAGTTTTGGCGACAGTGTTGCCCCCTACATCTCTTTGCAGCAAGTTTCCACTTCATCCCTCTTCTGACTAGAGGGTTTGCCTTTGGTAATGGGGATGCGGCCAAATATGACCTTGTGGCCCTGGTTTCTTTTCTTTTTTTTTTTTCCACTTTAAATGTGGCCCTGGTTTCTGACTCCAATCTCCGTGGTCCCGCGTGTGTGTAACGAGCCTTCTCCCCTCCCCTCCACTTTCAGCCTCTGTTTCTGTTTGTCCTCTTCGTGGGACCCTTCAACTGCCTCGCGAGTTACAGCCGGGCCACGGAGCTTCTGTACAGCCTGAACGAGGGACTGCCCGCGGGGGTGCTCATCGGCAGCCTGGCCGAGGACCTGCGGCTCGTACCCCGCGCCGCCGGGAGGCAGGACCAGTTGTCGCAGGTACCGGAGCGCCCCGTCGCGGAGCGGAACCCCCCTCTCTCCTTCAGCCTGGCCTCCCGGGGACTGAGTGGCCAGTACGTGACCCTGGACAACCGCTCCGGGGAGCTGCACACTTCTGCCCAGGAGATCGACCGGGAGGCCCTGTGTCTTGAAGGAGGTGGAGGAGCCTGGGGCGGCAGCATTTCCATCTCCTCCTCCCCTTTCTCTGACTCTTGTCTTTTGCTTTTGGATGTACTGGTCCTGCCTCAGGAATACTTTAGGTTTGTGAAGGTGAAAATCGCTATCCGGGACATCAATGACAATGCCCCGCAGTTCCCCGTTTCCCAAATCTCGGTTTGGGTCCCAGAAAATGCACCTATAAACACCCGGCTGGCCATAGAGCATCCTGCCATGGACCCAGATATAGGCACGAACGGGGTGCAGACCTACCGCTTACTGGACTACCATCGCATGTTCACCTTGGATGTGGAGGAGAATGAGAATGGGGAGCGCACTCCCTACCTAATTGTCATGGGTCTGTTGGATAGGGAGACCCAGGACCAGTACGTGAGCATCATCATAGCGGAGGATGGCGGGTCTCCACCCCTGTTGGGCAGCGCCACCCTCACCATCGGCATAACTGACATTAATGACAATTGCCCTCTCTTCACGGACTCACAAATCAATGTCACTGTGTTTGGGAATGCTACAGTGGGCACCCCGGTTGCAGCGGTCCAGGCCGTGGATAGAGACTTAGGAACCAATGCTCAGATCACTTATGCTTACAGCCAGAAAGTTCCACAAGCATCCAAGGATTTATTCCATCTGGACGAAACCACCGGAGTCATTCAACTTTTCAGTAAGATTGGGGGAAGTGTTCTGCAAACGCACAAGCTCACCATCCTTGCTAACGGGCCAGGCTGCATCCCTGCTGTGACCACAGCCCTGGTGACCATTATCAAAGTCATCTTCAGGCCACCTGAAATTGTTCCTCGTTATATAGCAAATGAGGTAGATGGTGTTGTTTACCTGAAAGAACTGGAGCCTATTAACACTCCGATTGCATTCTTCACCATAAGAGATCCAGAAGGTAAATACAAGGTGAACTGCTACCTGGACGGTGAAGGACCATTTAGGTTATCACCCTACAAACCGTACAATAATGAATATTTGCTGGAAACCACAAAACCGATGGACTATGAGCTACAGCAGTTCTATGAAATAGCTGTGGTAGCCTGGAACTCTGAGGGATTTCATGTCAAAAAAATTATTAAAGTGCAACTTTTAGATGACAATGACAATGCTCCTATTTTCCTGCAGCCCTTGCTGGAACTAACTATTGAAGAAAACAACGCGCCCCATGCCTTTTTGACTAAGCTGTACGCGACGGATGCTGACAGTGAAGAGAGAGGCCAAGTTTCCTATTTCCTGGGACCTGATGCCCCCTCATATTTTTCCTTAGACAGTGTCACAGGAATTCTGACAGTTTCCACTCAGCTGGACCGAGAAGAGAAAGAAAAGTACAGGTACACAGTCAGAGCTGTTGACTCTGGAAAGCCACCCAGAGAATCAGTTGCCACTGTGGTTCTCACTGTGCTGGATAAAAATGACAACAGCCCTAGGTTTATCAACAAGGACTTCAGCTTTTTTGTGCCAGAAAACTTTCCAGGATATGGTGAAATTGGGGTAATTAGTGTCACAGATGCCGATGCTGGACGAAATGGATGGGTTGCCCTCTCGGTGGTGAACCAAAGTGATATTTTTGTCATAGACACAGGGAAGGGCATGTTGAGAGCTAAAGTCTCTTTGGACAGAGAGCAGCAAAGCTCCTATACGTTGTGGGTCGAAGCTGTTGATGGGGGTGAGCCGGCCCTCTCTTCGACTGCAAAAATCACAATTCTCCTTCTAGATATCAATGACAATCCTCCTCTGGTTCTATTTCCTCAGTCCAACATGTCCTACCTGTTGGTACTGCCTTCTACTCTCCCCGGCTCCCCAGTTACAGAGGTCTACGCCGTTGACAAAGACACAGGCATGAATGCTGTCATAGCTTACAGCATCATAGGAAGAAGGGGTCCTAGGCCTGAGTCCTTTAGGATTGACCCTAAAACCGGCAACATTACTTTGGAAGAGGCATTGCTGCAGACAGACTATGGACTCCATCGTTTACTGGTGAAAGTGAGTGACCATGGTTATCCCGAACCTCTCCATTCCACAGTCATGGTGAACCTGTTTGTCAATGACACTGTCAGTAACGAGAGCTACATTGAGAGTCTTTTAAGAAAGGAACCAGAGATTAATATAGAGGAGAAAGAACCACAGATCTCAATAGAACCAACTCATAGGAAAGTCGAGGCTGTGTCCTGTGTGCCCACCCTAGTGGCTCTGTCTGTAATAAGCTTGGGTTCTATCACACTTGTAACAGGGATGGGCATATACATCTGTTTAAGGAGAGGGAAAAACCATCACAGGGAAGACGAAAATTTGGAAGTACAAATTCCACTCAAAGGAAAAATTGACTTGCATATGAGAGAGAGGAAACCAATGGCTATTTCTAATATTTGATATTTCATCATGGAATAAGACAAAGATGTTTTAGCTGACTTTGGGTAGTCTTCATCACCTTAAACAAGAGTGTGTAGATGACAGTTCCAATGAAGGACGACTAATTTATAAGTTGTACTATATTGTAAGTAAGCTGTTTACAGGTTTTTAAATTCAAAATCAGAGGTTATAAAATGTGTACAGCATTTTTTAATGAAAATTAGTACTAACAGCTATACAACTTTTAATAAAAAAAAAAAAAAAGCTTGGATATGATTTGCAGCTTTCATTCACCAAGCAGAATGAAAGAACCTGGGAATAAGGTAAGAAAATGGTACATTGCATTTTTTGTCTAAAAAGTCCTTTAACCACAAGAGGGCATCAGCTGCTCCTTTGCAGGGAACTGTTTTGAGGTATTGTACAGGACAGTTGTTGTACATGAAATTAATGAAAGAGTATATTTTAAATATATTGTTTTTACCATTTAAGAGATATGAAATTGAAATAAACTGAATTTCACCGCACTTCAATGTATGATAAGAAAGAAAAGAAATGCATTTGTAAACAGAATGTTTATTACCTCACAAGTACATCAGGTATAGTTGGAAAGAGAAGGCATCACAAAGAAGTGCAATTTGTTTTTAGCAAAAGAGTGAAAACATGGCCACGTGTTAAAGAGTTGACCTGCTGAAGAGTATTTCACTTTCTGTGTACTCAGATTCCTTTTTGTTCCCTTTGCCACTGCACTTGCCAGTATTACAGGGGAAATGTGTATATTCTCCCTTATAGACATTGTAACTGGAAATTGTGTCCAAGGGAAACAGCCAGGAGCAAAGACCTGTTTCAATCCTTAGTTGCTTCGTAGGCGTTCACAACATTTTGGTGCTTTGACAACTCGTCAGTAGTAGTTCATACTTGGGTTATATATTAGGTTTTTATGTGCTTGAACTCATTTATCACATGAGAAAATAAAAATCATATTAAAACGGAATTATTCTAGAAGCTAGTGTACACTACCAGTTGTTTTAGTTGGACCCTTTATATAAAAGTTATACTTATCTTTTTGTTGTTGTTTGGGTTTGTTGGCTACCATTTCTGGCTTCCTTTCTTTGGCTTTGGATTAGGTCCAAGAGTTTATTTGTAAGCCCAGCAGCAGATTTCTTTGATAACTTAGCTTTTACTGAATCCTTTGCCATGAAGCAAGCTGGTTCCTTAGTGATTGATCTCTTTCACTTCATTGTGTTGAGCTGGGAATTTTATTTGATATGAGAGCTATAGCAAAATATCTGTGTAAACAAGGAATGTGTTAGCTTAAGCTGCATCATTCTACTTTTTTGGCCTCATGTGTCTTACTGTACCAAACGTGTTTATATGTCTGCAAATTAAAGGTATATATTTTCATAATTTCTTTCTCATTTTTACCATTTATATTTGAACGTGGGCTTGTTCTTTCACTGAAGTGCCTGTTATTGGCATTTGTTTGCTTTTAAAGGTAAATGTGGGTAAAGTGTAAATATTCTGTTTGCTAAAGTTTATATTAAACTAATTCATTACTCAATTAAACATTGGGTAAATCACTGAATATGTGTGTAAATAGAGACACATATGTATGATAGAGAGTATGCCTAGATGTTTGACAGGCGTTCATATGAAAATTTATGCCCATGCATGTGCACATGCATATTAATTTTCGGCTTAGTATCAACTATAAACATTCATTTTACTACATACTTCTGACAAATCCCTTGTTAGCTGTGTTACAATAGCTTTCAATACATTTTAAAAATACATTACAAAAAAAAAAAATTGAATGCAAACACCCAGGACCTTTTGAATTTGTATTAACTCATTTTTCTTGTTTTCTTCGGTCTGACAATTTGAATAAATAAAATAAGTGTAGGAGGCAGTACTGTTTGTTACAAAAAGGAAATATATTTTTATTGGAGATTCCTTCTGTATGAGAGGCACCTGAGCTTAGAAACTAAGATCATTTAATCCCCAAAACCTTTCATTCATAATTGATGTATAGCAATGGAGGAAACCATCCTCCACCAATCATTTTCATATCTTCTTTCCCTTTTTTAAAGGAAGGAACTACATATGAAATAAGTAGCACCATTAATTAAAAAAAAATCCTCCTAAGTGCAGTGATTTCACCATGAGTATAAGTAACAAAATGTTCTATTTATTTCTAAATTTGAAGAAAGTTCATGTGTTTGGGGGTATAGGCTTTGTCTCTAGCACAAGAAATGCCTATAACATTAATAAAAAGACATATTTCTGAATAACTTCTTGTGCCAGGATTTCCTTTACAAAAACATCTCATTCACATTAAAAGCATTTATAACAAGGAAAGTTAAAGTAAATTAAGCTCAAAGATAAAAGCCCCTTTTTACTAACACCTTGTGCTAGAACAGTTGCCAAAATGTATGCTAATCATGTCAATGTTGTTAGTTGAGCTGGCACAAAAATAAATGTTCCATTCATTAAAAACCCTAATATCCATTTAACAGTTTGAGAACCAGTGAATCCTCTTTGCCCAATTTAATGAAGAAGAAACTGCTCTGATCTTTGCACTGCCAGAGCCATTCTTATATTACAGAGAAAATTGTTCATTAATTTGGATTGGGAAATTTAAAAGCAACATAGCAATTTCAGCTATGGGGAAAAAACAATTTGTTAGTTGAGTCTTCAGAGTAGATTCCCTGACCCTATTAAAAAAAAAAAAAAAGTTGTCTTGGCAGTTACGCTTCGATCAGTGGTGGTTAAAAAGGAAAAAAAATAGATCCTTCTTTTAAAACAGTTTTAGTGGTACGAGTGTAATGAAAATAAAAGCCAAATCCTTTGTGTTTTGTGTGTTCTGCATGTGTTTTATGAAAACAACAGGCATAATCTTACTATGAAAAACACCACTGAAGCAGTATTAGGGATGGTATGAAGTTGACTTGATTCCAGTAGGTTACCTCATAGGGATTCCAATTTGTGCTCCCAGAAAATGTCTCAGTTAACAACTGTAAAAGGAGGAACTATGCAATCCTCTCCTGTGTCAATGGAGACTCAGGTTCCAGTCTCTGGTGAAGTGAAGATTCTATGGGGTCCTGATCTTCGATAGACCATGGAGAATGTAAGGGAAGACAGTACTGAACAGAGGGTGCTTTTCAACTCAACATTGGGCAATCTCAACTCACAGACGCCAGAGGGCATAGATATCTGAGCATTTTCTTCCCTCTAAGTTAGATTTTCTCACTTCAAGAAAGCAGTCAATTGCTACAAAATACCATTTTGCTGACTTGTGCAATCTCTGCCTAGCTATGTGCCTTCACAGTGTGAATTATAAATAAATCTTTATTAAAAGGTAGAGAAATGACAGTCATGCAAATAGACTTGAAGCAGGAAAAAAATTTTTTTTAAATTGGTAATTTCTCAGAGAAAAGACCTCCTGTAATGTCTTTTCTAGTTGTCTCTACATCTGATAAGAAAAGATCATACGTATTTTTCGGATCGATATATGCATACATGCATACAGTCTATAATAATTTTCTAAATGTCAATCATTGTACAGAATTGTTTTTAAAATGGTAGCATTTTTTCCTCTGATAAACCCCTAAATTGGGAATGCATTCCTTTACGGGTATAGAACAAAATTGGATGAAATTTAAGCCTTAACCCACTAATGTCAAGAAGTAAGAGTACTGGGGTGACTAAAAAAACAAAACAAAACAAAACCATTCAGTCATTCATTCCATTCATATTTATTTTAGTACTCTTAATTACCAGGGATTTAACTGAGAACAAGACAGAGTCTTTGACCCTCGATGACTTTAGATTATGGTGCGGAAGGCCAATAAGAAAACCCATCAATTTCAAAACATTGTGTGGGATAAATGTCTACTCCCAGGATGTCAGGTGAACAGGACCTAACCCAATTTGAGAAAGTGCTGGAGAAAGCTTCCCAAAGAGGCCAATTTCTAATTTGGGCCCTCTCAAAGGAGGTGATGTCTAATTGAAAAATTTAGCCAGGGGAAGTTGGCAGAGGAGAGAGAAGGGCACAAGGAAGAGGGAATAACGTACAAGCACACAGGCCAAAGTGAGCATGTCATGATTGAAGACTCATAATATTTGTGGCTGAAGGAATGAAGAGAATGAATAACAAGCTTGGAGCTGTAGGTGTACTGAAAATAATGAAGGGGCTTACTTGGAGGTGGCAATTTTATCCCATAGAATTTGTGTTTTAAAAAGATCATTTTGGGAGCATCTGGGTGGCTCAGTCATTTAGTATCTGCCTTCAGCTCAGGTCCTGATCCCAGGGTCCTGGGATCGAACCCCACATCAGGCTCCCTGCTCAGCGGGAAGCCTGCTTCTCCCTCTCCCACTCCCCCGGCTTGTGTTCCCTTTCTCGCTATGTCTCTCTCTGTCAAATAAATAAATAAGATCTTCAAAAAAAAAAAAAAAAAAGATCATTTTGGCCATGTATGAAGCTTCTGTTGAAGAAGATTCTAGAGACTCACGACAAGGTAATAGTGATAATTCAAGGGAAAAGTTGGGCCTTAAACCAGGGAATATGAATGAGATATATTACAGTATGGAATACAGCAGGTAAATGATTTATAGCTGATAAAGCTATACACTAAAGCTATAAAATTATGACACCAATAGAAATTAAAAATCCACATGTGAGAGACCAGAAAATTCACAATTTTCATAATTGGCTTTCAAGCCTATTTTACAAATTTGAAAAGGATAGGGAACTCATTTACTAAACATTAAATGAGCAATGAAAACACTGGAGCCATAACCCCCTTTCTAATGTTGGGTTTTATGACACAGATGGAATTACAAACTAATTTACCCAGTTTATTTCATATTTATGACTGTCAATTCTATTCAATTTAACAAACATTACTGTGTGCCCATGTGATAGCTATTCCAACATGAAGTTGACCTCCTGAAGAATATTTTATCCATTTGTAATATTTTCCTTGTAGTTGCACTAAACATATCCACAGGGAGAAGAGTCATAC